TCTACTTGGTTGGAAACTTTTGTGGATTTCGTTTTCATACAACAAACTCTGCTTTAACGTCAAGCAAAAAGTATCATACGCTTCCAAGTTCACAACTTGAGATCTTTTCCTCCATACTCATTCATGATTTTAGCCCAACACGCTACAAGAAATCATTCCCTACATACACTGATTCCTTCCAAAGTTTTAAACTTCATTGTGTTACTTCAATTAGTCCTAAAGATCTTAACTTTCAATTGATATGACATGAATGCAAAGTTTGAATTTTTGTTTAGAAACGTTCTCAACTAAAAGTACAATGAAAAGGTTATCTAAACCCTTTTTTAATCTTTACTTGATTCAAGCAGACGTCGAAGCCCACTCATCAGCCTGAATAAAGTTAGCCACCGAGTACACATGAACATGCTCGTCCGGTATCTCACTGCTCCATGAAACCCTTTGCGCCCTATCCGATCCCGGACCCGTGTTCTTAGATTCACCGTAATAAAGCGTCTTCAATGCGAAATCCCCGCTCCACGGTAACCATCCATCAGGAGTAATCAACGACTCTAAATTGCAGCCTATAAACACAGTCCTTGAGTAATCCTTCCATGGCCTCCCCAAGAAGTTTTTGTGCACCTTAGGGTTAGCTTTGAACAGCTTCATGTACTCCTCTGTTCCGTTTATCAAACAGTTCAAGAATACAAATCCCGTGGACTGTGCCGGGTCGATTCTTCCTTGGGCAGTGACTGCGTTTTTCTCGCCTTTTTCGGGGTTAACTTGACGCGGCGCGACTAGGATTTCGCAATCTTGGAAGACAGAAGCTGAGTTACCAAAGATGAAGTCAACGTTTCCTTGGATACGACAGCTTTTGTAGAACTGACGAAGACCATGAGCATAGAGAGTGTCTTGGTTCCCAAGGAACTCGCAATTCTCGAGCAGAGAAAAATCGCTGTCGGATCGAAACGCAACCGCTTGGTGAGCGTCTGGTCCCGCCGTGTTCTGGAAGGTTAGATCACGAGCCATGAATCCATCTCCTACCACTCCTATCAAACCAAACATTCAACCGATATATATATTAGATATTAAAACTATAATCTAGTGGTAATACAAAAAAAATGCATAACGGCCTAATCAAATCATATAAAAGTACTTTGATTTAACTAAAAATCCACAAAATTAAAGTTTTTTTTTTTTGGGGATTTAGTACAGAATCGGGAAAATTGTTAGCACATAAATTACGAATCTATATTAATGTAAAATCATGGATTCGTTGACTCCACTAATTAGGTCACCTATCTAAAAATATTCATCCAAAAAAAAAAAAATTTCACGTGCCTTTCAACGCTTTAATTTAAATTAAAAATACAAATTATGTCGCTTTAACATGGTTTTATTTACTTCATCAGAATAATAAAAACTCACCGACAGTTGCAGTGTTGTACGTAGTGATCCCAGGCATCCCGGCGTTCAACGATCCCGTAATGACCGTTTTACCCTTACCGGCTCCGACAAAGACAACGTTCTTCTTCTCAAACGGAACCCTAACGGTCTCTTCGTAAACTCCTTCGTTAATCTTTATAACAAACTTACGCATTCCGTTATCTTCCGGCGCAGAGTTAACGGCGTCTTGCACCGTCTTGTAACCGCATTTCCCGTCTTTACACACAGTCACGTCTTCTTTTAAACCGGAAGAAAAACCCAAATTAACCGGATCCAAACCCGAATCCAGACCCGGCCCAGTCTTCTCCCAAAACCCGTCTCGTTCGGTTTTCGGGGGGGTCCACGACGCTACGTTGTCTCCGTAGTTATCGAACGAAACCATCATGCTTAAGGCGTTACTGGTGACGTGGATGAGCCCGTCTAGAAACGACATCGTTTCGCCGACCTGGCTCGTGTCGTTCACGTATTTGAGGGCGGACCACGAGTCGTACTGGTACACCAGAGCAGCGCTCATCCAAGCACGAGCGTCTTTGATTTTGCCACGTGTCAAAGCTTGATCCGTCGATTGCGTACGGTGCTCGGAGTAAGTGAGTAGCTGGAGACACGTGTTCGCGGCGTTGGTTCGGTTTAGATTCCCTACGGAGGAGTCTACGATAGACTTGATTTTCGATTGGGCGGTTTTGAGGTTTTCTAAAGAGACGGAGATCGCTGAGTGGATGATCTGGGTCGGGTTTGGATTCGGAGGGACCCGACCCGGTTGGGATAGGGTAGAGAGGCATTGGTCTGGGTAACGAGTTGCGTTGCAGGCGAGTTGGATCTGAGCGGCGAGAGACGGAGACGGATTGATCGGAGGTTTGCCGGAGGGTGATTGACGGTGGTTGTGGTGGTGACG